GGTTCACATGGCAGGGAGATGCAAGCCCGGGGGAGATGCAGAAGGAGTACAAGCTGGAACAAACGCCGGAAGGAAATTTGTGGAGAATCCTGTGTAAAGGTGGTGACGCTCCGGGAGAAGAAGTACGTCCTGATGGATATCGGCAAGTGGGTTTGGTGGTCGTCTATGTGGACGATCTTATGGTTCTTGCGGAACCTCACGCCAAACACAGCTTCTTGAAGAGGCTGAAGGAAGAATGGACTTGCTCCACTCCTGAAGAAGTTGATCACAAAGGCTGGGTTCGATTTTGTGGGTTCGAGCTCCAATGGAGCGGTCAAGGGGATCACAAGAAGTTGAAGGTGGGACAGCAGTCCTACACTCGGGATCTGTTGAATCGACATCAAGTAGAACACCCAAGACCGGTTCCGATGACGAAAGCGGATGCCGAACTTCCGGAAGAAGAACAACCAGCACTTGAAAACATCCGACAAGCTCAAACGGTGGTGGGCGAGTTGTTGTGGTTGTCCATAAGGACAAGGCCGGATATCAGTTTCGCCGTCAGCCAATTGGGAAGACAGGTGAACAAACGGCCCAAATGGGTGGTGAAAACCGCACAACAGGTGTTTGGTTACCTGAAGGGAACCGAAACTCAACATCTCAGCTATGGGGTTTGCACAAGTGATGATCGTGGTCCCGAAGATGATCTGCCATTTCACCGGGAGATGCGGCAAGTCGAAATGTTCTCGGACATTTCATTTGCCCCTGCGGGCGAAAGATCACTGCAGGGTATCCTAGGTTTTTATGGTGGAGGGTTGGTTCAATGGGAAGCCAGCCGTCAAGCTTTTGTGGTGTTGAGCACCGCCGAAGGGGAATTGATGTCCTACTTGGAATCCATGGTCATGGGAGACTCTCTGGCGTCTCTCATAGAGGTCGTGGAAGGACGGAAAATCGGGCAGAAGATCATCTACGGAGACAACACGGCTGCAATAGCCATCTTGGAAAATCCTGACGGTCCGTGGAGGACTCGACACTTGCGGTTGCGAGCAACAGCCCTAAGGGAGCGGTTAAAGGATGGTAGTTGGATCATCCGTCACCTTCCAGGGGTAAAACTTGTGGCCGATTTCCTGACGAAGATCATCGCTGTGAAGCCCAGTTGGGAAAGGTTCTGGAGGTTCGTCAATCACCAAGGTTCCGGGGTTCCAAATGAGGAAACATCAATGGGGTCCAACCATCGTGAAGAACAACCTCTGGGAGAAGAACAACGTCCAGAAGAACCAGACCAGGAGACTTCCTCCTGGGACAACTACCGAGATATCGCTGGTCGGTGCGTATCAGTGGTAAAAAAGGTGGTTGGTCTGGCCGAGGAATATCCAGAACTAGCCGATTTCCGGCATGAAGCCCTGAGCACTGCCATTGGAAGGCTGGTGCAAGTACTGGCTGATGCGTATCGCGTCACTGAATCCGTGGTCAAGGATCGGTTCCAGTTGGAGTCGGTCTTACCGTTTTTGGAGAAGAAGAACATTCCTGGACAAGTTGAACACCCTGTAGAAGAAGAACCTAGGGGTATCCTAAAACGGGGTAATAAGACCAAAAGGGGTAACTCAAAACCAAAAAGGGTTTATTTTTGGGATGAAAATCCACCAGTTTTGAAAGTTTTGCGGGTACAAGATCATCACGGTCATGTTGCCCAATTGCACAGTTATGAAAAAGAAGAACCCATCCCTAAGACCATCCTGGGTGATGGACAAGAGAAACCTTGGGACTTGGATTGTGCCAGGTCCGATCGAGAAGAACATCGAGCTGCTGAAGTTGTACCAAGGTCGGGTTCCACAGAACCGTGGGATCTGGTTGCAACTTGGGGAATTGGGTTTTTGGGGAATTCTAATGTGGTAGGTAAGGGGAAAAACCATCCTGAAACCTCAAAGGGGATAGCTCCGCAACCAACGGGATTTAAGTGTTTTTCCGTTAGGGAATTGGGGTTGTCCGCAGCAATTTATTTTTCCAAAAGTTTTGGGCTCAAAAGCGTCCTCGTCTGCCTTGCTGTACCAGTGACAGCTATGGACGGTGAAGATGTTTCGCAAGGCGTCTTTGGTCAGTTTTTTGGCATACTTTATGCCATGATGGTCATCCTGGTGTGGGAAGTTTTCCGATGGCTTATGAGCCATTTGACACTCCTGGTGGTTCCTCAGTTCAATCGACAAATGGTGGAACAAGCTGAACTGATGGTGAAGTTGGCCCTGAAAGATCGAGAAAAAGATGTACGTGGGGGAGAAGGTCATTCCACGGCGGCGCCAACTGTAGAAAAAGATGAACATCAGGAAGAAGAACCACGTCCGGGAGAAGATCATCGAAAGGAAAAAAGAAGAAAAACCGAAGAGAGGGATGCTGATCGCGCCCATGATAAAAGGGAAAGAGGAAGAGACCGTCGGAGACGGGGTGAAACAGGGCGATCTAGGTCGCCACACAGGGAAAAGGAATCGACAACAAGGCGATCGGAGAGTGAAAAAAGCCCTGGCCCTTCTACAGCCGAATCGCGAGGTTCGGAAAGGGTCCCAAAGGGACCGATAGCTCCGCTGCCAGAGGGTATGAAAGCCCCTGGGAGACCGCCACCGAAAAAACCGTCGATGCCAACTCCCAAGGAAGAGGAAAAAGTACCCACCGATGATGAAGAGTGGGGAAAATGGAAGGAACAGAGAGAAGGAGAAAAAATGGCTGATTACCTTGCAAGGATGAGATCAGTCTATGGAAAGGCAATACCTGCAGAGCCAAGGGAAAAACCTGCAGAAACGACCCGAGCCTCCTCCTCTAAGGCAGCTCCTAAGGCAGCGGCTTACTATGAAGTGGATGGAGGAGAATGGTATTGGTGGGATGGTGCATGGGGTGACAAATGGGAACCGAAAAAGAAAAAGAAGAAGAAGAACAAATACACCGAGGCTGAATGGGAACAGTGGTACAAGGAGCATCCGGAGGAGGACACTGAGTCTTCCCAGACACCAAGAAGGCCAGCAGAACCGGAGACTCCGCCACCGGCCCAAAGACCAAGGATTCGTCCGGGACAAGATTTAATTCGACGTCCTGAAGACCCAGCCAGCTGGACAGTTTACATGCCTGAGGTGGTCATGCGTGAGGTGGAATATATCATCTCTTGAGAGGGCACAGCATGGATGACAAAGCCGCCGGCCGTAACAGGCTTTGAAGAACAGGGTCAGGCCATTGACATGTGGCATGTTCCAGCCCCTGGGGACTATGGACGAATCATCACAAGAATCCATTACAAATGGAGACAGAATTCATTTCATCCAGATCACCCCACTTTACCGAAAAAGGTCGACCAGTTGGATCCTTACCGGGTCACATTTTTGTGGAATACCCTGGACAGCAACGAGCGAAAAATAATCTTGGATTTTGACTGGGAGACCAAGTGGGTCGAAGACAAGTGGGTGGGATACACCGTTTTCCTTGTCAAACAAGACCCAAGAGATGTGGCGAAAAGCTCACCCAAAAGGAAATAGGTCACACGGAAAAGTACATCGGTGGCTGGAGAAAAAGATCAACAAGACCCAAGGAAAAGATCATTAGCTGCCGGTGGAAAAGACCAATACAGGGAAAAGCTCATCAGCTGCTGGACCCAAAGAACACCGTTGGGCGCTCTTCGAGGACAGCGCTGGTGAGAGAGGGAATTCAAAACCTACGAAGTTAGGGCTGTAGTTTTTCAATTTTTGGAGTCAACCCGAAGTGGAACTCCACGCGACCCTTGGATGAAGGGGGAACCAACACCAGCCTGGGACTATGGCACACGAGGGTCTTCGCCCTTCTGGCTGGGGGAAGGGCGAGTTCCCAGAGGAAACGTGGCCACCCCTGAAGCTTTTGTTTTTGGTGTTGGGGAACCTGGATTCCTGCAAGCAGGAAGGGGGAGTGCGGTTTGGGAAACATGCACAGAGTACCACTGCACCCCCACTAAGGTCTTTTTTAAAGTTTTCACAGTCGTTGAGACGTCCTCCGACTGTTGCAACTATGGCTCAAGCCATTCAATTGGCTCAAGGGTCAATCAACTGACTGGCTCAATTTACCGAGCCCAACTTGGAGTGAAAAAGTGCACTTGCATCTGCCTCTTGGTGGGGACCTCCGGGAAGGGTCTCGGTCATAGTCTGAAACCCGTGGATTCAAATAGGTGTGTCTGAAAATAGTGTACCCCTAAACCCAATGGTTTTGCTGATCATTATCCCTATTAAATGGCTATAATTGGGAATATACCCTATTTTCAGACAAAACCAAATAGGTCATTTATAGTGGATTTACCCTCTGGTTATTTAACATAGCTATTGAAAATGGCCATTTATAGTGGATTTTCTCATTAAAATGATGATTTTCTATTGCTATGTAAACGTTTACCAGGCCGGGTAGGTCTTGAATCTCACTTAAACAGATCTTCTCTACTGGGTTGGCTCAACCCCTGAAGGTTTGTGGGATTCTCATCCCTAAGATTGAAAAAAAAACACCAGGCCAGATGTGATTTAGTATAGCCTCATTCACTGTTGCTTATATGTCCCCCATTAAAAACATCATTCTAAGTCTTTATGGGTTAACCTTCATGTTTCAAATCTAACCACGAAACAAAAATAACCAGTTCATTGCCAGAATGGCAATCCAACACAGCTATGGAAAATGGCCCGTTTGTAGACATAGATGATTTACTTTGATTTACCTATGCAACATGGCGATTGTCCATGTCGCGAACTGTTGAATGACCAGAGGGAATTTCCAATTACTAGCCCCATGCTGGTTCAATCCTGATTGATCAACAGAAAATCCCATCAAATCCCATCTCTCTGAAACATATTAGTCAGTTGGGATGATAACATTCCCAACTGAATGGAAAAATATAATCCAAATGTTCCAAACCACCAACCAGCCATTGAACCATATTAAACCATCTTAAACCACCATAAAACCACCATCAAACGATCATCAACACAATGGGCTTAGCCCCAAAAACCACGGCTGGGGAGTCTCTGCCGGCACCTCGTAGGACCAATCAGAGGACCGGCCCTTACCTGGATTCGAGTTTTTTTTTGGAGGCCCCATATCCCAACAAACCTGGAAATGTCAAAAACATACCGGTTATACCGTAGTGATTAACCATGTTTTTTACCTTCAACTGCAGCCTCAAGTAGCTGCTTGTTGGTTTATCCCATTAAGAAAAAAACTGTTATACCATGCATGTACAATCAACGATACAAATTGTGGAGTTGCAAACCAACCCGGTTTGCAAACGACCTTTTTCCCCACCCTGTACCATCCACCCAGTGCTAACATCCAACCCGTACGACCTCCTGTTGAACTCCCTTCCAGGGTCTTGGAGCTTGTCGTTTCGGATCATCAACGTATCAGGAGACGCTCCATGTATGCTATATTTGCCTGCATTTGGGTCATACCTGATCATGTTTGGGCAGATGTTGGTAGAGATGTCTCATGCGCGAAGCTTGGCCCAGAAGAATTTTTACACAATCACGTACCATCTGTGGAGCTTCACCAATAAGCACTGAAGAACATATTATGAGTTTGTCCAAACCCAAATCCGCTGGTCAATCATTGTCATTCTTCCCCATTATATAAATTGCCACTTGGGGGAAATGCTCCATCTGACACACGATGACCCACACATGTCATATCATACATTGATCCGATTCTCCCCGTCATAAGTGGTTTCCTAGCCCCCGATTGATTCTGACTTTTTGTCAGTGAAATAATGCTATATCCACATGTTGGTTGGATAGGCAAATCCTCATTTTTTTTCCCCGGCAAAAATGCCCAATTTCTGCCCATGTCTATTGGTTCAATGGATTGGTATAGGGGAAAACTTACAGGAAAACCCCATATTTAATGGTAAAAACCAGAAGGTTTCCCGTAAATGTTCCCTTAAACCAATCCATTGATTGGTGAAATCCCATAAGACCACCATTTTTTTCGAGAGAACTCACCCATTCTTTGGTCCACCCCCACCATAACTGGCTGCCTGAGGCGCCCCTGCTGGGTGGGGCATAGGAATAGGAGGCCTGACTCGAGTGCGCCCAGCTCATAACAAGGGGAAGTCACCATCAATTATTAACAAGAAATGGGTTTCAATACTATATAATTATAAATTCAATTTGGGATAGATTGAGATACCTTACCCAACAATTTGGGATAGATTGAGATACCTTACCCAACAATATATGTATATAGTATTTGATTAGATAAGTTGGAACAGCCATCAGTATGGGAGTTTGCCTGAAAATATGTTACCTCCCAGATCATCCAAAATGGACTACATTTGGTATTGAAACGGCGATCCCCCATTTTAGGACACCTCCATATGGGGTTTGTCTGAAAATATGGTACCCCAAATTTCATGGCCTTCCATGATTTTCCGTATTCAACTAACCATTTCGGGGGTAAACATGTTCAGACATAGCCATAGAGATGTGCAATACCAATGGTTTCCCGGGCTATGAAAAAAAAAACAAATGGTGGATTTTCCGTATATATGTTGCTTTGCGGGAGATGATACCCCATGATTTGTTTCCGCGGTAAAAAAGACATGGATTTAACACGCACTAATACCAGCTCTTAAGATGCTTTAACGATTAAACATTTGGTGATACAGTCCAATTGGGATTTCAACGGGATTTAACATGATTTAACCATCAATTTTGCGGGTTCATGGGGCTTTAAGTATCAAACAAATATGGATAGGTAATATAGCATCATATAACTGATAAACATGATGTTTGATATTGCATGATTTAATTGTCATAGCCTCTTATCAACATCATCGGAGACTATGACCCACACTTAACGGGATACCGTTGTAGCAACCAGTAGATCAAAGCGAGTTTCATGGGATTGAAGATTTAAAATATAACGTAACATGATGTAAATACTAATAGCAACTATAGTATCTCTATGGAAGTCGGTTGGGAATATTATTCCCAATATATGGAAAAATAACCCAAATGTTCCAAACCACCAACCAAATAATAGTTATATATATATACTTTCTGGCCAACCATCCATTTTACCTATGGATTTTTCTGGTTGGCCAAAGTATAACTTTAGCCATTGGTGGATCAGCCGGCCAAAGGGTGGTCGGCTGTACCATCAATTTATGGTCAGTTCAGCAAGGAACATGATGGAAATGATGATGTTTTTTGGCAGTCTATGATAATGGTTCCAAAAATGTTCCCTATTTAGTTTCAGAGACAACACCCATATTCACCAACAATAAAGTACGAACACATCTTATGAATGTATAAACCTAGATACCTGCAACAAGTTTCGCTGATCAAAAGTAGATCCAAATCCCCTTCCATGGGTGGCGAAACATGACATCCATTTACCCAGCATTCGCCAAGATCTACCTAAGTATAATTATGTATGTTGCTAGTGGACGTGGTTTCGATTTGATCCACCTGTCAATGCTTCACCGTACCCATTCTTGATAGTTCATAGTCGTGCATGACTGGCCAAATTAGCTCCAACAATAGCATTTATAGATGTCTATAGCTATCAGTTGGCCTCCATATTCTTGAGTGACCATGCCATTTGGCAACTGGCAACCATCATGATCGGCACCTAATTCGGGTCCCCTTTGTGCCTGTGACAGAAGCTATGAACATGGGTCAACATTGGATCGCACCCTTCTCAGCTGCGCTTTCCGTCCTCGTAACCGCCGCTCTTGGACTTGCCTTTGCCCTTGCTGCCCTTGCTGCTCTTGCCTTTGCCCTGAGGGAAAGTCCGCAACATTTGAGACACATCTGGTCCCATCTGGTCGATTCACTGCAAAGGTATCGATTGATTTCTATAATTTTCTATATCAATTAATATAATTATATATAGATTGTAGATCCATTTCGGATTTTCTGTACATGTTATCATACGCAGTTATTTTCATATTATCTATATCAATTAATATCAATTATATCAGTACATTTCTATGCAGATCAATTCATCTCGCAAATTTCGGATCTGAATTTTGAAGATGGATCCAGGATCTGCATATCGATCTATTTCTATCTCGGCCCAAATGGATCCAGCCATGGGGGTTTCCATAAATTTGGGTACCCCAAACTCATCCATTTTATAAGATTTTATAAATGGATATCTCGATCTTCCATGAAATCAACCTAACCATCCAGCGATTAAAATGTTGGGGTACCCCAATTTATGGAACCCCCCATGGCTGGAGAGCACCCCATGGAGCGCTTGCGCTCCAGCACGAAATCCCGCCTTTGGCTCCTCGTCATACCTGGATGATGTTCAACGGTGATCTCATGGGGATGTCACCAACAACAATGGTGCTGAAAAATATAGGATTCCACCAACAACAATGGTAATTTAATGGTAATTTATGGTAATTTCTGGTAATTTATGGTAATTTCTAGTAATTTCTAGTAATTTATGGTAATTTATGGTAATTTCTAGTAATTTATGGTAATTTAAGGGGGCTAAATATGACAACATCATATATAGAAATGGTGATGAACCAATAATGGGTTGTGTCTGAAAATCGTGATTTAACCAACAATAAATGGTGGTTGAACCAACACTCATGGGGAAAAACTGTGGTATACGATTGGGGCCATTAACGACCATTAACCAACAGGAAGATATTGGGGGAGGTTTTACCTGGGTTCAGCAGGGATCATAGTGACAAACCTATGGATTTGGGGGTGCCCTTTGCCTGAAAACTCGGTGGGATGTTTTTTTGGTGATGTTTTCCACCCGTCTGAGACTCTGCAGTGAGCTGCACATGAAAAGATCTTATAACTGGTTGGTGGTTTTAACCATCTTGAAAAAGAAGAAAGTCAATGGGAAGGACTATCCCATATAGTATGGAAAATAGAAAATGTCTGAAACCACCAACCAGATATTAAAAAAGTCTGCTGCTTCTTCGACTCAGTCGGAGATAGCCCAAGCCAGGGCTGTGATTCGTTGAACCATTTGCTGGTTTCTATCACCCGGTCATGCCCGGCGCGTGTTGAACAGGTCACGTGCGACCCCAATGACCGCTTCCGGGGCTAGAAATTCCAGTCTGTGGCAACTGTCTGGGTCAATCAAAAGCGATTCAGTAGGAGTTCTATCTGCTATCCACAAATGATGAATTCTGCTGAAATGTTCATTGTCTTGGCCCTCTTTTGGACATACTTGCCCACAATTGTTGGTTAGATTTATGAACTTTCGTTGGTACCATGGTGAACCCATACGTCATCCCCCAAGGGACGTGTCAAGCCTTTGCCAAGCCACTTGCTCTTGCTCTTGCCCTTGCTCTTGCCTTTTCCCTTACCCTTGGGGGCAGAGTCATCTTCATACTTTCCCTGTCAACAGCTGTTCAGCGACTGTGGGCTGGTCAATTCCCAAATCAAGATTAGGGTCAAAATGGAAGACCTAGGGGACCACAGATGTTAGTCTAGTATTAACCATCCAATTATTGGGGTACCTAATTTTGAACCATACCAAAATCAAGATTACCAAGTACAGCTGCACAAAGAGCTACTAATGAATCCCTTCCTCAGTGGAATTCCCCAGAACTCAAAATCCTAAGAAATCTCCCCAAATCTCCAGTCACTGTATCTGTGACTAAGGTGTTTTGATCTGACCCTGGGGACAGCAGTCATTGCATGTGCCATTTGGAGCGTCTACCTGGCAGTTCAAATCAATCAACTTGACTTTTATTTTAATTGGCAAGGTGCAATTTCAAGGTTTGGGATTCTTTTACGAACTTTAACTAGGGGATTCATGAACATTTAATGACGAAAAGGTCATGTTTTTGATTCCCACCAACTGCCCTGTTCTTTTTCACCTTGGAACTCTTTCCTTTGCCTCGCGGTCCATGGAGCAAAGGGTTTGGATCAGGGACCACTATCTGGTCAATTCTTTGATTATTCAGAGCCAATGTCAAAATCTGGTCAAATGATAGTATGATATGGACAATATCAAACTATCTAAAGTTGGGATTATGTGTACAACTCATTCTGAGCCAATGTCACGATATTTGCGGCGCAAGCTCCTCAAATCTTCTGTCTTCCCTATGGTACCCTACAGGCTTTCCACCCCAAAAAAAACGCTGGAATCTAGGTACAGTAAGAAGTTGGAAGTCGATCTAGTTCAGTTGTGCTGGTGATCTCCCCAATTCTTGGCCCCAGAACGTGGGTTGCATTCCCAAAAGATGTTTATCATGGTCACCAAATCGGGCTCTGGAAGAGCCGGAGCGTTCACCTGAAGTGACCGGTTTGACCCCCCAAAAAAAATCATCCACGACAGATTGGGCCTTTGCCGCCTTTGCCAGATTTTCCAGCAGACTTTCCAGACCCTTTGCCCTTCGCCCCTTCTGAGGACTTGCCTTTTCCCTGCCAGGTTGCTGTGAAGGGCATGGCGCATGCCCTCTGCCCAGCCATCCCCGGGTTTTTCTAGAGAACATCAGCCACACATTCGGAAATCCTCTTCAAAGTTCCCTTTTGACAGTTGTAAGCCCAAAAAGTGAACTTGGAAGCTGAGCAGTTTTTCCAGATGCAGCCCCTCCACCATGTACACCTGCCTTGCCGCGGCCTTTGCCTTTCCTTGGCAGCGGCAGCTTTCACCGAAAGTGGTTGGTAAGTTCCCTCTTGTCTGGGTTACCCCTCTGATCTATTGCCCTTCTGGGACAGTCACTCAAGATGCAATGTGAACTTGCTCTCTGTTTTTAGTGGTTTCCTATGGTTTTCCCATGGTTTTGACATGGTTTTCCTGTGATCTAGGTTTAGTACTTTGGTGGGCGATAGAAAACCGCCTTACCAACGGAAGGGTGGAAAAGTCCATCTCAAAATACAGGCGATTCCCAAACTGGACACCAAAGATTATCCCCCAAAAAAGAGAGAACGGTAAATATCTTGAACTAGTGACTAGTGGTATGAAAATAACTGCTTTGCAAGGTGGTACCCCATAATTAGCTAAATTGTGTTAGAATTGATGTTTAACTTGGGGGACCACCTGTTTTTTTTTGGGGGTTGCTATAAAGGACTGTACACTACTGAGACGGTTCGCCCGTCCTGCCGCTTTGAAACAAGGCATGGCACGTAGACCCACGGCCACGACCCTTTCCTTTGCCGCGGCCTGGATATCTCACTGGATGAGTTCTCTTCAGTGGGTTAACAATGAGAATATAACCGTTTTATAACAATTTTAAGTTCTAAAATAGCTGGGTTAACTATTTATAGCGTTTATAACATCAATGATCGATTTATAATTAACTCTTTAATTAAAATACTTCATAACTGGGTTCTATCCGGTTCTATCCCCAGATACCAATGACTCACTGGGGTGGTCCTGCAAGAGCAGTCGTGAAAAAGGCCCTGCCCTCGGTACCCACATTGAGATGTGAACCATCCAATAGGAACCAATAAGTTGGGGAGCCAACTCTTGACCCATGATATCCCATGATCAGAAAACATCACCGGTGAGTCACTCTGACCATACACCACCTGTTGAAAACAGAGACTTTTCGAAAGATGTGAACAGCAAAGGCTGGAAATGATGTTTGGAACAATCAACAGTAGAAAACACATAAACGTGCCCCAAGTCTTAAGTTGGGTTTGTAACCCCATCCCACTGTATTATATATATCTACCTTAGCCTAGTAGTCAGAAAGCAATTTAGAAAAAAACATGCTTTGTCTGCATTCTGTGAGGTAATTAATTCAACAATTACCCTCCCAAACAAAAAAAAACACAAAATCGCACTCTCCAAAATGGAGTATGGCTCTTACACCCAAAATGAACATGAATTTCGAGGGTGAAAAGTGCTGCTAGTTTTCACAAGGTGTTTTATGAGAGTCATTGCTCTAAAAACAAAGTAGCTCTGACTCTCATACCTGTTCATAACAAAGGCCATTGCTCTCATAAAACACCTATTTTGGTGATGTTCACTCGCCAAATGGCCTTGGGGGAAAAAAAAACACGCCGTCTGCGGGCTGGCCTTTTCCGGTGCCACCACCTCGTCCACGGCCACGTGCCAGTTCCTTGATGAAAATTTGTAACGGTCATGGGCTCAAAAATGGCTTGGATACCCACAAAAATGGTGATTTAATGGTGATTTCATCAACAAAAATAGTGATTTCATGGGGATTTAATGGTGATTCTATGGATTATAATGGTGATTTAATTAGGATACAATGAGGATACAATGGGAATATCCTCAATCTAACGGTTTGCGAACTGGAACATCACCATCTTTAATGGGTAAATCATTGTGTTAATAATCTAGAAATGTGTTTTTTCCCCATAACTATGTTTCATAACCAGAGGGTAGAATTTGGAGCCAATATGGTCTGGAAGAATATCTTTGGATGCTGATGTAAAATCAAATTAGCTATGATAGAGTAGATTATGCAAAAGTGACTGACACTTGCGTAATGCCCTGGCCATGAGTCGTATGTTCCAACACTTAGCTGCTCATTTGAGGATACATGCTGGTAAATATTTCCTGCATGGTATGGAGAGGATACCCTCTGGTAATTTAACATAGCTATTGAAAATGACCATAGAAATAGTGGATTTTCCCATAAAAAATGGTGATTTTCCATAGTTATGTGACAGTTTACCAGAGGATATGTCATGAGGTCTGAGTCTGTCAGCCAAAACCCGCTACCAAAATGGATGGCGTCCTGAAACCCGGCCTGAAACGGCTGGAAATTCCCCGAGCTGAGGTTTAGTTCGCTGGGAAAATCGCCCCATAAATGGGAGATTTTCCGGCATACCATGTTTGATCAAATCGGAGGGTATATATATATATATATATATCCTATTCATATTTCATTAAACCTTCACTTATCCCATTGTCCCCATTAAATCACAATTAAACCACCATAGGTCTTCCGATGACCGGAGGGTAGTTTGAGAGTTCCCCACTTTCTGGGGCACATTTTGGCTAGTTTTTGTATGCAACAATGGTGGTTTTTCACCAATGATATTGGTGATTCAAACAAAAAACTGAAACCAAACAACATCAGATCCACTTTTTCAAACGCTGGTTGGAACCATATTTTTTTTCTATATGATTTTGTCTATATTGTTTTTTTCTATCAACATACCATGCATTTTTCTACAGCTCCACCGGTGCGCCATCCACTTCCCAGGGAGCCTCAGGGTCGAATTCCTTCACCAATGACTCGTCCAGAGGGGGTTGGTAGCCCTTGTTGCTGCTGTCCAATTCCTCCTGGGGCACCCTGCTGGACGAACTTTCAGCTGGCTGGAAAGCCTCTAGTTATTTCACATAGCTATGGTATAAATAGTATAAATGGCATTAACTGGGCCATAGAAATAGATGTGTTTCAGCTATTAAACATGGTAATGTTCCATAGCTACGTTGAATAACAAGATGGTATCCTATGTTTTTTTGTTCTGCTGGTTTGTGTAATGAGAGTAATGTATATCCTGGGATATCCTGGATATCCTGATTTAAAAACTTACATATCATATTTATATTTATATATATATAATTTTCGAAGAAAACATACACTGGTTGGTGGTTTCCACCCCTCTGAAAAATATTAGTCAATGGGAAGGATTATCCCATATATTATGGAAAATAATAAATGGTCCAAAACACCAACCAGTACAGGCTCAAGGTCTCCCCCACTATCCCCATATGGGGCTTGTCGCTACCCCCTGCCGCCGGCCCCACATCTCGTCCGCCTTGGACAATCTGATCTCAATCACCGAGACATTTCGAGTGTCTGTGACCTTCAAAGGTCACCCCACTTGGAAGTGCCGGGTCGGGGGGTCGGTTGAAGGGAACATCTACAGGAAACCCATGGTTTTTACCACCAAAAATTGGAAGGGGCTTCAACTGTAAATGAACCTATCATCGAATTCTGGGATCCAATATGATCCAAAGCAAGGCTTTGCAGCTTGATTTGCTGGTCCAAAAACACCCAAGGTACCAGAATTTTGAACCCATAAGGCCATTGCTCCGCTGACGGGGGTCTTTTTAGCTACCATGGCTGCTGCCGGATGATTCGACCGGCTACCCGTGCAGGATTCATACCGTGCACGAGGTATACTTGGTACAATTACCCTCTGGAAACTGTCACATAACTATCGAAAATCACCATTTATAGTGAATTTTCCCATGAAACATGGTGATTTTCCATAGTTATGTGACAGTTTACCAGAGGGTACCCTTGCAAAGCCGCGTATCATTGTTATACCACCAGTCTGTCATATTTGTAAGTGGAACTACGCAAGGGTTGAAACGTTGAAACACCATTTTTTGCGAAGCATTTCTCACAGCTGGACAGGGTGAAAAGATCATTAATGAAGATGCCATATGGTATATACATAATCTTTACGGGTCACTCGCATTTGTAGGGACCTGCAATTAATATGACACCCATTCTCATGTGCTTCCCAAACACTTCCCAAACGACTTAAGTATCATGGTTGGCACAGGAAGCTTACGGAGTTTACGGGTAAATATGGGTAAATAGAAGTTCATCCTTGTCAAATTCTGTTATATCATAGGTTTTGACCCATCCCCAAATGAATTCTCACCTGGCTGGTGGTTTTAACAATCTTGAAAAATATTAAAGTCAATGGGAAGGATTATCCCATATATTCTGGAAAATAAAAGCCATGTTTGAAACCACCAACCAGTCACCAGAAAGTCTGTTGATGCCTCCCATGTTGTGCAAGCCCGCCTTATCCAATCCTTCTTCCATTGGTTCGTACTCGTCGACGATCTCGACCTGCGATATTTCGCGACTGTCAGAGGATTCCACCCAAACCCGAAGACTAGGCGGATAGAAAACACCGCAACCGCTTCATCTAAGTTGGCAAGGTACACCATCTTACCATATTATCATACTTATCCACAATTGATAGTTCACAACTTTCGTCCATACCTATTCATATTTATCATATGTAATCCATCCAGCTTGGATAGATATGGGAATGGGTCAAAACCTATCAATTATTACTATATTTGTGGGAATAAACATCCATTAACCAGCTACTTTAAAGGCACCCAGGGCGCCAGGGTTTTGACTCATAGGCATATGATATTCCATTTTTTCCATGGAACATAAGACTGTCCCTGTGCGAGGTTGGATGACCAAAAGAGACGTGTGCCATGCACGCTTTCTGCAGGTCTTGATGGGCGATAATCTTCGCTGGCATGTTGGTCTAAGGTATACCCTCTGGTTATTTAACATATAGCTATGGTATAGATGGCCCATAGAAATAGATTATAAACATGATAAACATGATGCTTTACTGAACTTGAATCATAGGGTACCAAGATTATGGTGTTTCTCAGGTTGGATTTGTAACACGAATAGTTTTGCCAGGTAAAAAATTGGCATATTATGTATCTCTGTAAATTTATGTATATATATATATATATAGCAACCCCAAACCAAGATAGAAAAGCAAGATCCAACAACTAGAGTTGGAAATCCATGTCTTTATCTTTTGTTGGTGTTCCTTCTTAAAAATATATCTTAGACATATTATTTATACTGTACGCTCTACCCATCTCTTTCGCGCATCTCCCATAGCCCCCAGCCAGATGGCACCGTCTTTAGCTCTGTGATTTGGTGCAGGCCCTTGAAGCGACGCTTGATGACCTGCTTTCTGAAGGATGGCTGGGACCGAGCCAGAAAGTGGTCGTCCATGGCCTATACATACGGACATATACAGATACATAATATGGGTCAAAGGCTCAATTAGGACGACTTTTTCACTCACTTGGGGCGACATATTTAAATGTGGACTTCAACCTTCAAGGTTAACTCCATTGGATACAGACTTTTAGGTTAACACTTGGGGACACGGGGCTGGGACATGGGGTGGGCTTAGGGGACCGGCATGGTGGATTACATTAGAGAACATGATATACAGACCTTTAGGTTGACACTTGGGGACACGGAACTGGGACATGGGGTGGGTTTAGGGGACCAGCATGGTGGAATGAGACCTTTAGGGTAACACTTGGGGACACGGGGGTGGATTTAGGGGACGAGTGGGGACACGGGGCTGGGACATGGGGTGGGATTTAGGGGACCAGCATGGTGGAATGAGACCTTTAGGGTAACACTTCGGACACGGGGCTGGGACATGGGGTGGGTTTAGGGGACCAGCATGGTGGAATGAGACCTTTAGGGTGACACTTGGGGACACGGGGCTGGGACATGGGGTGGGTTTAGGGGACAAGTGGGGACACTGGACTGGGACAAGCATGGTGGATCCTGATGCGTTGTAACATATTCCTCAAGTCACTTTCAAGACGTTTCTGATACGTTGTAACATTACATTCAAGTAACTTGCCAGATGTTCCTGATGCGTTGTAACATCTTCTGTCAGTAACTTGCAAGACGTTCCTGATAAGTTGTAAATAATTATTCAAGTAACTTGCCAGATGTTTCTGATACGTTGCAACATCTTCTTCAAGTAACTTGCAAGACATTCCTGACACGTTGTCACATCTTCTTCAAGTAACTTGCAAGACGTTCCTGATACGTTGTAACATCTTCGTCAGCATGTGATTCAATGACAATGTCCTTATGATCATCTCTAATACACATGTACAAGCCTCTTGAAATCATGTTCAAATACATCGATTAATCTTTCTATTGAGATTGTAGCCATATATCACCGACGTAGTCCTAAGCGAGAAAAAAACGTAGGCCTAAGCGAGGGACTGACCCATAATATCTATATATATATATATATAGTTTTATAATATACTATTTTACTGTATATCATGTATCTCTAATATGCATATATGTATCTGATGTGTATATATATATGTGTGGGATGTCATGTTATGGTGGTGGCTTATGGTTACTACATGTGATTGCTCACTTATTATGCTCGGGATCAACGATATTCCTCGCTGGGCTGCTTGGTTTGACATGGTTGGCTTATCAGCATCCACAGTACTACACTTCTCTGTCCAAGTCCGACTACAAGTACTTGGGACTTGACATAAAAAGTTAAATGCACCGGCACCAGCACTGGCTGTTTTTTGCCGGAGGGAATGTCCTCTGTCCTGACTGGAGTGGCCTAGAAATCAGGCGAACACTGAATTTGATAACCTGAGCTTCAGAGAAGGTCGCTCCAACTTCGGAAACCCTGTCCGACACTTGTAATCATCACATGTTGGAACCATCAAATTCTACCAGCCTTGAAACTGTCAGTATAGTTTCTCTCCGACAAAAAATAAAGTAAAATAGAATCTGTGCGAGTTCCATCCAATTTCATCAATCTGGGTAAATGTCATCATATTTCACCTGGTAGTTTGACTTCTTGGGAGAGCTACCTTGGGCCAATTCCCATCATTCATCCCACCAGCAACAGCACCTCGGCAGCCGTTACTGCTTTGGTCAAGGCGTTCCCAGTGGCTTGCACGATCACCTCGGTGGCCGGTCAGCCCCTCGTCTCCAAGGTACGGTGCAGACTCACTTTGTTCTATCGCATCCCAGAGTTGGTGAGAATGTGATTGAACAATGTTGAACATGTTCCGTGAAACATCATATGAGTATGTTCTTGGCAGGCGAAATTGTTGCAAGGCTTAAACTCAATTCCGGTTTGATCTGTTTGTTTGAAAATAGGGGAACCATCGTTTATCACAAGTTTCCCTATTCAAAGAGCCATTTTCATGGGCAAACCACCCAAGTTTCAAACCCATTCACTCTTTCAGGGTCCTGAGGCTCCATCGTAATTAGTAATAACCCTCTTCTTCCCCTGTGCTGAGTCTGTGGACATAGGGCTTCTTGAGCTCATTGAACACAGTGGCCGCACGAGAAACGTACGCCTCAGAGCGCTCGCAACGGCGCTGCGCTGTTCGGCTCTCTGGGTGTCACTGAAGCAGAATTACCATCCATTTGCATTCTAAATATAACATTAAATATCCTATTATTATTCATTCGCTTTTTTATTACGATTGAAACTGGGAAACTATCCCCGATAGCAGCAACCCCAAAAAAAAATCGGAACAGTGTCGAACTGGGATGGTAGTTCGATGATGATTGCCCATATTTTCCAGTTTTCTAAGATTTTCTAAGGTATTTTCTACCTGTGGCTGCGGATTGGTATACCCAACCGAGTTACACCCAGTTTTGGGGGGTTTCCGAGGTGGCCAGGAATACCAAAAATCTCGCTGTGTCGCCGCGCTGACACGCTGCCTGCCGCCGTCACCCGAATCTCTTCGTCCGACTTAGCAGTCTCTTCCTGCGAAAGACCACCCGGGTCCCCGCTGGGGAGCACCAAAAACTGGGAAACTGTTCGGTCCACATGGGATGATACAGGTAAAAACTGAAACTATCTTGAAATCATGTTAAAATCTATAAATTGTGTGTGTGTGTGTGTTTTCCCTATGACATTATATATATATATAGAGGGGTTGTCCAAAAATGAGGTTTAAACCCTAAAATCATGGTAATGGATAAGCAAAAAAGGATGCAAAACACATGGAACAAAACCTAGACCTAGACATACCATGATATACCTAGACCCAGCAGTTCAAAGCGACCATTTCGGGACTAGCAAGCGACCACTCGTAGTATGTTGGCCTTGATTCAGGGGGCAAAGAGGCCACTTTAAAAGCAATGGTATGCACTATACATATACCATGTTAATTTTTCTCTTTAGATGAATTACAATGATTTAGGACCATGGTTTCCGCCAACGCATCCACAAGATTCGGGCCATTGGGCCCCCATTTTTGTGGATGAAGCTCACCATGTTGATCCGAATCTTATGGATGAAATCCGCTTAATTTTATTGGTCAAACTCCTTGTTGCCCCAGACTGCAAGCTGAGCATCAGGGGCCTTGGGCTTGAAGACCTTGCGATACTTGTCCATGTCGGGATCTGAGCTGAAGTGGGGTCACATTTGCACAGAAAAAATGCGTTTGGAGCTGAAACCAGGAAAATTGGGTCATAGGTGAAGAAACAGGGTTGGTGCATTGAGCCACACGGGTGACTCTTGTGGAAGCATATGTAGAAAAAAGAGTGAAAAGGGTAATAAAACGAAAATAAATCTGCAATGTGTATCCACAGATCAGCTGGACAAAGGATCGCACCGGATTTTGCCCAAACATATGAGTGCGTGGACCCAAGGGATAGATTGAAGGTAATGACAAGAACACTGGAAAGAATTTGTTCGCGACAGAAGCACAGTGCAAATATGCGGTTGTGGATGTTCAATTTCATGGTATCTAAGATCGCTTCGCAGGTCAGCAGTTCCTCCCAACGAAAGCTTGTGAGAGTCACCCACGTGATTTCCAAAGTGTTGCTCTTCGTTGCCTATATATAATTCCCGCAATCTTAGGCACGAATCTATGTCTTTTAGACCAACTTTCCGAACTTGTGGCAGAACATTAAGGTTCAGCTTTGGATTTAATCTCAATGGCCATTTTTCCAGGTTCAGGCATTGCGTGGCTCTGTGCTCGGTTTCTTCTGACTCCAAGATTCAACTCTCTATTCAAGCCTGATGGTTTTCAAAGAGCCGCTTGAGGTACGCCTTGGTTCTTGTGACCTCTAAGCAGCTGGCGAGGAAATTCCGGAAAATTCTATACGTTCCAGAACAATTCTATGCATTCCAGAAAAATCTTTATATACATCTGTACATAATGTCTGGATATATCTGGACCTTCTAGGGCCTTTCTGTGAAACTTACTGTAGCTCTGCATCACAGCGAGGACTTGGTGCCGATGCCTAGGTCCCGCAAGCTCGGTGGCTTTGGCAAGGGTCCGAGTCCAGAGTCGCGCCTTTTCTGCGAAGAGCTCTGGGTGGCTCAACTGAAGAGCAGCAGCTTCGACGTTCATGGGATCGTGGGGCTCCGGTGCCCCAAGCAAAGCCACGACCGACAGCACCATCTTGTCAAGAGTCAGCGCGGGCATCCAATTGGCGGAAAAAATATCAATGCACACCTCCCCACTTTCCGCTCCAGTATTTGGATGAAGGATTTTGGTGAAGATCTTGAACTTGGGCGGTTTGCATGGGTACTCATTTGGAACGTCAATCCCAGCTGCAAACCAACCACTCTCGTAGGGTGTGCCCTCTGGGCCCCTCAGGAACACGCCGAAATGTGACAAGTCCCTTTGGCGAAAATCCCATCGGTACAAGTCAGCATTCAAGGCGGTATCGCTAAGAATATTAAGGAGTTCTTTTGTGACCCGGCCTCGCATAGCAAAAGGGCGTGATGTCCACTGTCCACACAGAACCGGATGCTGCAGCTTCATCTCGTTCCATCTTGACACGTAAGATTCCGCCGGGTGAAACACATTTTCAATGGTGTAGCTGCTGCTGCTGGACGCAATTTCATTTTGGGATCTTTGGCGTCGATAACGCACATCTAATGCACATGCCAACTTGAGAGGGAACTGCTGCCGCGCCAGAGGCTGCTTGGGAATGCATGGCCAAGACAAAGGAAGAGGAAGGGGCTTAGTCAAAGGACGAGGAAGCTCAACCGGCTCAAGCGGAATCTCAGACAGCTCAACCGGAATCTCAGACAGCTTAAATGGAATCTTGTGGCCATGGCTATCTGTCAAGGTAAACAGGCCAAACAAGTCCTTCCGCTCCACGCCAAACTCCATGAGCTCGGAGCAGACCTGATCCAGTCCAAGGTGCTTGCAGTTCAGTAACAAGAGGTTAGTCAGATCGCTATAGAG